ATAGATATTATTGATTTATATATGTTTCTGAAAAATATACCACTGATTGTCACCTGAAAAGAGCTTTTCATTAAATGGGAAATTAAAACTAAGAATGTCATTACACATACTCTTATTTAAATTTCAACAACGAAAAAAAGGTTTCGGTCAAAACTTTTGCATTGACAATTTGCTTAAAGAATAAATTTCTTCCAAACAATGTATTTCGAAATATATTAACACCTAAAAGGTAACGATCAAGCATTCATTGCTAAATACAATAAAGGAATTTTCCATTCAAATAACGAACAATAACAATCTATTCCCGCTGGAAATTAGTCGCGGGTGTTTCAAAGGATAAATTTTATAGAATGATAATTTGAGTTCAAAAAAGGGCGCTTATTTACAGTTTTATCGTGTTGTTTTAATATTTTCCACATAATGCGAAATTTTGAAAAAAGGCTGACATTTTGTATTGAAATAAATGAAATAATATTTGGTAAATGAAATTTGTGAAAGAGAATTTGACGGAGATTTGACAGCTCAACAAGGAAGTGACGAAGGATCGCACTTATAAATGTCTATTGAGATGGAATGGGATTGACAAACAATGTATAAATGATGATAATTGATGTTTAATTTATTTAACAACACTTTCAATCTTTTACCAAATAAGTATGAAAATTTTAAGAGTATTGTGTTAGTATAATTTAAAAACTATCATAATTAGAATTGTTCTAAAATGCATTCAAAATATATGAATTGGTTATGTTAAATTCTTTTGAAATCTGATCTAATGGCCTGAAATTAAGAATTATTCTCGAATTTGCATTTTTTTATTTTATTCTTTTTCATATTAATACATTATAATTTGCATATGCCATATGACTGCTTGTTCCGTTTACTGGAATGATTTATGGATTTGATTTTCATACGGAATTGATTTAAAGAATTTGAATGAAAATAATTCAATCTCTTTTACATTATAATACTTATTGAGAAGTATGGCAATAACTGGTTATGATTAAAGATTAGAAATATCCAGAAGGTTGTAATCTCAAATGAAAAATTATTTGAGATTAAATTGTTAATGAGTTGATGAAAACAAATAGAAATACGCTGGTCAGATATTGAAGTCATATTTACAGATCATAAATTTCGATTTAATTTACAATTATGAAAAAAAAATTATAAAATATTTTGTATGCGAGCCATAAAAAAGAATGTAATTTCTGTGTTAGAAAAATTTTATGAATGAAATTTATGATTATCCATTACAACACTATAATTAATTAATGCAATATAAAAATAAGATTGAAAATTGTTGCTATCATCAAAACCGCAACAACAAAATAAATGTTATTGCGATATTTATTAAATTCTAATCAAACCTGTTTTATTAAGATATTTTTTCGGCTGTTTAAAAGGTTCAAAATTTGAATTTTATTCTTATCCGACATATTACCAGCGCAGTGTTTTGTTATCAATATAATTGTTAGTTCCTTTATGTTTTAATCATAAATGTTTCTTCTTTACTTCTAGAATTTTCGCCTTTTTGTTGATTCAGTTTCGACGTTTGATGCAATTTCGACATTTGATGAATCCTACTTGGCCTAACCAAATAACTCGCCCGTGACAGCGCTCACTTACACTAATTTTTTAAACTAAACTATAATTTGTTAAATAAGGATAGAAATGCAATTTACATTGTAATGAATAGTACGTCTAACCCTTTACTACATAATAAATAACAAACCAAAGGAAATTTCAGAGCTAAAATAAATAGGAAACAAAGAATAGAATTAATTAGTTTATAAAGACGAGAAAAAAACATGATGAGCTTAATGGACAGCACCTTTAGGCTTCTTTCTACTTTTGTATTTCTAATTAGAATTTTTAATAATTCAACATTCAGCAATAAATCTTGAATTCAAGAGTGAAATAAAATCTTTCATACAATCATAATTTTACTCAGCAAAAAGAAGAATAGAAAAATGAAATAAAATCGTTTAAGATTTTATCAGGCATAGTTCTTCTGAATCTCAGCGTTTGAATGCTGAACTGTGAGAATTCGTTTTATGCAATCATATCAGTATGATTCTCATGCCACTGTAATGGAAGTGCTCAAACTTTTATTTTCTTTCTTGATAATTAATATAAAAGCATTTTGTTGCTCGAATATTTCCGATGATTAAATTAATCATCCTAATAAAAATTCACAACGTCATATAACTAATCAAGTCGCTTTAACACACGAAAACCTTATTAATATATATTACATTAAAGGTATCCGTGTCTAACTCTAATTTTACTCACTGATTGGTCAATCATGTTGCTGAACTTCTCCAAATATATTTATTTGATCGATCTATCATTGCATGTTTCTACTCTTATCATATTCTGTTTGATCTTATCGCTTTATTAGAAAATTCTTCGATTACTTCGAAATTGTTTCAAGTTATCTCATTTTCACAATTTATGAAACTACTCATATATAATTAAATAAATAATATTGGAGTTTTATTGATTACAAAAAGAAAATATTACCAGGCACAATTCTTACCTGAAATTTTCACTCTATAACATTCGCTTCTATATCATGAATAATAATGGTAATAATAATAATGATTATTATTATAATAACTTTATTTACCGTTATTGATAATTCACTTTGTTATGAGGATATCCTTCACTCTATTTTAGGTAAATAATCTAAAAAGAAAGAAATAAAATGATGAAGATAAGTTTTTGGATTAATGTTACTACTACCTTTCTTGCACTATCATTTTGCACCATAATTTTAATATGTGGTGTGATTGTCAGCAGCATCAACGAGTTTTATGAAAATGCTCTTCATGATCTTAAAGAATTCCAAGTTTGCATTTTTAGCCATTCCATTAATATTAGTGCAATAGGTGTATTAAAATACGAGTATTACATGTATTTTCATTTTAAAATTAACATTTTAATACTTTTTTAATTATAGTGATTAGATTAAAAATTTTAATTTATGAAATATTGAAAATACAATAACATAGTGAATAATTTTTTGAAGTTATTAATAAGAAATTTTTAGGTGGTTGAAAAAAATATTTGGAATAAACTTTCGCAGTTCTCGCCTGTGCGAACCATTAGAGAAATATCACTGAAATCTTCAGAATTTAGTCGAAGACGAAGACAAATTTCACGAAAATTACAAGATATTAATTTTGAAAATGGCAATTACATGGCATTATTAGAAGAAATTTCCTCACATGTTGTTCCTTCCAGTCGTGGAAATGAAGGAGAATTAGAACGAAATTACCTCACTCCTTCAGTTCTTGGTAAATTAGTTTTCAAGCCTCAAATTGTTTTATATTTCCTGCATTCCAAAAGAGAAAAAAGTTCGAAGTTTTGGTTCCAATTTATTCGTTGTCTTATTTTGTTGTAAGGAACAAATGATTGAGATAGAAGATATGGATTCTAATGGCCACGAATAACCTGTGTCATTTAATTAAAAGCTTACAGCATTTCATTATAAAGCTATAATTTTTACTTTTTAACTTTCAATTAATTTACAAACCTATTTTTTCTAGAATGTTCGATAATTTATCCATGTCCAAGCGGACCACCGGGATTACCTGGAAAGAAAGGAGAAAATGGAGGTAACATTTTGAATACAAATTCAACCACTAATAAAATAAATACAAGAAGGCAAAATTCCTTTTCCCATATCCTTTTCATGAGAATTAAAAAATAAAATTTTCCAGAACCAGGAATTCCTGGTGTTGATGGTCACCCTGGCTTGCCAGGAATTGCTATCAGGTATATGGTATCAGATTGTGTCAAATGTCCAGCAGGTCCACCTGGCCAAAAAGGACCTGATGGACCGCCAGGAGAAGACGGTGCGCCTGGTAAGCCTGGCTTAGCTAGAACACTTGATGCTTTTGGTCCACCAGGACCAGTCGGTGATCCGGGACCTTCAGGTAAGAATTAAGCTATTTTAAAGAGCGCATTCGAATTTATGAATCTTAAGGGCCGACTCCAATTCCCAATAAATTCCAAACAGAATATCGGGAGGTTGCAGCGACAAAAAGATGCAAAAGCTCTGTGGATGAATTATCTGAAATACAGCTATGTCACTTTCCAAACTTCCGAAGTCGAATTCATTAAAAAAAATTTCTCAAATTCAGGTTTACCAGGTGAGGAAGGGGAACCTGGTATGCCCGGTATACCTGCTATACCAGGTATTAAGTATTTAACTGGACCAAAAGGATCGCCGGGATTACGAGGCCATGCTGGAGAGCCTGGAATTCCTGGCAAGCAAGGGCCACCTGGAGAAATCGGATCGATTGGTGTAATGGGAGCTCCTGGTGAACCAGGTTTAAAAGGAGCACCGGGACCTGATGGAATGGTGAGATTATAATTTTATAACTTAGACTATTTGAAAAATTCATTGGCCGACTTGAAAGCAAACAGAAATCCTCAAAGTATTCTTTGAAATTTTAACTCGTATATGAAAATGACTACAAAATGATAAAATCTGATAAACACCATTGGGAGGCTTTATCCCCCGATGGTGTTTGTCAGATTTTATCATTTTTTTAAAATACGATAGCGAGCTTTTTCGAAGCCTTCCCTACTTTTAGCCTGGACCGCCAGGAATTCCTGGCATTGATGGTCAATATTGCATCTGTCCATCACGAAATAAAACATCGACAACAACCTTATATCCAAAGCCCTCAAATTTTCAACCTTCCAATTTACAATCAATGAACCGGCAATCTTCAACTGAATTGACGCATGCAACCATCATTGATGCTCAAGTTCAATCCAATACAAAATCGAAAATTGGTCCCTATTATCGGAGAATTTTAGGATCTATGGCACATCAGATTTCTGGCTCCGAAGCTGAATCCATTTTAGTTCCGAAACAAATTGAATTTAATCCATTTCCTTCTTCTGGTTCTTTATCTACGATAGGGTCCGCTGTGCAACATGTAGGAAACTATAAACACAGTTACACAGCAGCACCATATACTTCCATCTACCGGAAAACCGCTGATGAATCAAAGAATTGAAATTTTTAATCACAGTTACTCCTTAGAATTTATAATTTGCTTCATTACAACCTTTCTATCACGGTGATATCAACTATTATGGAAGTACCAAAGGTTAAGAAATTAATTCCGAATTCTTTTTCCCCATCAAAATTTTTATAATAAATGTGCTATTGAGTAATATTTAAAGAAGTCGAAATAACCATTCACCGAAAAGTTTTCAAGAATTTGACTTACCACCTGCGAAGGATTACAATAATTATTTCGTAGGTTGAAACACTTCAGAAACCTTAAAAACGATCAATTTTCTCATTTTATGATTTCCCATTCCGGTTCCAAATTGCAAGGCAAAAAAATAATAAAACAATTCCATAAAAAATAAAGCCAAGTCAGACAAAGAAAGTTTATATGCCTTCCTAAAAATGTTAATTATAAGCCTACTAAGGTTTGGTCTTTTATCGATTCCTTATCACTTTTAAATAATTATTATATGAAATCACTTTTGATCATTTTTCAGTAGTAATCATTTTTGTACATCGTAGCTGTATTTTGCATATGGCAAAATGTATTTAAAAATAATTAATCACATATAGTATCGGAGTGATAATTCTTTTTATGAGATTACTGCTCAATTCCAACCTTAGATTGACTAAGTAGTGAATTATACAGGAAATGATGCATGGGGCTATTATTTATTGGAAATATATTTTATGTGATCGTTCACCTTTTAAAAACATGACAGCTAAATAATATTGGCAAAAATTTTATATCACGAGAATGAAATGAATTACTTTTATTAAAAAATCCAAATCTTTTTTACACATGAATACAAAAATTTCAAGACCAAGTCTGATAAAATTATGAAGGACACTAATGAATCTGAAAAAAAACAATGGTAATCAATTTTTTCCTTTTATGATTATAATAGTGAAGAAGAGATAAATTTTCAAAATGAAAATTTGAACACATACGAATTATTAGCGCAATGACAGAAACAATTTACAAGCTCCATGTTACCCGATAAAAGTGAGAAATAAGTGCAATAAAAGTACAATAAGGTATAAAAATGCTAAAAATAATGTGCAACTTAACTCAAGTTACGAAATTTAAGTTCTCCAAAAAATCAGAAATTATATTATATATTACAGTACATTCACAGAGAAGGAATAGAATAGAAAATAATTAATCCAAATTCCACGGCAATATTTGATTTTAAGTAAAATTAAGTTTCGTCTTTAAAATTTAAAGATTTAAAATCAGAAAACCGACAGGAGCGAATGCACCATATATATTAAAGCAACGTAAAAGCAAAATGAATACAACAAACACAGTATCTAAGAATAAATGAGTAATTAAAAACATTAAAGGGATATTTTATTTGCAATATAATAAAACTTCAAAACCAAGCATATCATTTTGCCGAAAACCCATGAATTATTTTTCAATATTTCAACAATAAATTTTATTTCTTAGCACTAAATTAATCTACTATTTTTTTATCTATTAAAACAATTATATCTCTTGCAATAAAGTATTTTATCACTATTGTCAATCCAAAGAACTTTATGATTTTAAATGAATAAAATAAAAAAAAAAAATAAAACACTATCTCATCATCCAATGCATTTTCCAGAAAAAGAGTAAAGGTTTCAGAAACCACAGAGAAAAAATATTAAACAATGCCATAGTTAAGACAATTTGCTAACATCGAAAAATATTAAAGTTAGATAAGATCTGACAGAAACCTAAAACAAAAATGAATGAATTATGATTGCAGAAAAAATCAAAATTACCGAATCATTATTAAAAAAAAAATTATTATATGTCACAAAAAAGTGGTAGCGTTCCAGTGAGAGGTTCTTGCTTTGAGCAAATTTCATTTATACTGAGATCAAGTCGAGATGCCCAATCAACGCACTTCTCATATAACATTAACATACAGTAAGCATCTAATGCTGCATATCGCAACTGAAAAACCTTAAGTCTGAAACAGTAACTAGATCGCTCTAATGAACTGCCAAATCAAAAGATGAATAGTTAAGTGATTAACATCAACTTGCCGAGAGTTCTGATCTTGACATTTTAGGAGTCCTCGATAGTGGTTGGTGAATGACGAAAGACTAATGGATGGATGATTTTGAGGATGAAAAAAAAAGGAAAACCAAGTCAAGAAGAGGAATGTTTTGCGAATCATAAAAACTTGAGAAAAGATATGTTTGGTCAGCTTTTTCCACCCAACACTTCATTTTTAATAGAAATGTCATAAAATTTTAGATTTTATTTCCAAATGAAACGAGGATTTTGTAAAACACCTGTAAATCGCGAAGTGGACGCCGATCCCAAACAGAACATTGCTCTGTTTTGTCTAATGGTTTACCTAACACCCGTTCGCACAATGCTGATAATCCTCTGATTTCCTTTAGTAATGGATTTTCTCCAACATTTCTCATGTCATGCTTTTCTTGTTTTTGTTTTGACTAAAAATAATAAAACGTTGACATGTAGGAACAAAATCTAAATCAACCTTCAACGGAATAAAGTGTTATGAAAATGAAAACAACTGGTTAAACTACAATATAAAATAAACATCTCATTTTTCTAAAGAAATAATACTGTAAAGACGTGATCAGCAAAAAAGCATCCAACTGAAATTATTGAGTCAATTATCAGATTGAAATTACTGAGCTGATTAATGAAAAAGTAATAAAACGTTGAAATGACAACAAAAATGTAGCCTTAAAATATCAACTGAAATGCAAAAATATTTAACTCTATTTTGAAGTGATTTTAACCCGAAGAGTTATCCCCGGCCGTCACCTTTACTATTCCTCTATTTCCTCCAATGTGTTATTACTTTTATTGAAACTCATATTAATTGTACACCAACTGAAACTCAATAAATACATGGAATATGGCACCTCTCCTTGCTTCTCGGAAATTTTATTTTTGAGTTTAAAATAACCAGCTGGTTAATATAATTTTAAAATGAACCCAGGCAGAGAAAAAGACATATGAGAATAACAAAACTTACCGTAACTAACTTCTTCACTTCCTCTATTTCTACTGCTACTGCCGGTGCTATGTTTTCGGATTTCTTCACTGCTTGGGATATATCAATCGAAATAAGGTTTATCTTTGTTTCGACATCCTCCTTACAATCTGTTATGTGAGTCCATGCACTTTCATCCATTTCAGCAGATGTAATAATACTACTTCTTATTCCTTCTATAGATCTTTCAATTGTCTGTACTTTTTCCAGATGAAATACCCCATCCAAGTTTATCTCTGGTCTCTCCGCACTTTCTTTCATTAACTGTAACAAAGTTTCAGTAATCTAATGCAAAAAGCTCGACAGAGCAAAAAGAAAACAAATTCTACAAACGCCAATATTGTTATTTTCATGAAAAAGATATTTTCAATAAGTTGCAAATAAATAAAATTACATCGCTAATAATGTATGGAATTTAATTCTGATACTAACCGATTTAACAATTTTGCCAATACATATCAAATTTTTCGGATGATATAATGCTGAACAACGCTGCACCGCACTTCGTAGTTGAATAAGATCTTCATCAAACTGATAACCTTAAAGATATCCCATTAAAACACAGTATCTCTGACATATATCTGAAAATGCTTGGTCACATATCACTTCTCTAGAACTTTTTCACATCATTCAGATTAATTCGTTCCGCAACAATGAATTACAGTACGTTTAAAAATTCTCTCTGGAAAAGGCATTTATGAATGGATCTTCCTTTATTGTTTAACATTGATTAAATCACGGATAATTAAAAACGGAGAAAAACTGAAAAAAAATAATATCACAAAACAAACCTATTTTTAAAAGTTTCCATTCAACGAAGAGTTTTTCGAAGAAATTCATCAGTATATCAGATTTGATATTATCAACGTCTATTATAAAAACGTGATACGGAATAGCTAGTTGTAGGATGGTTGCTCTGAAAACATTACAACACTGATCAAACGGTTTAATTGATAGCTGGACATCATATATGCTCACTTTTCAAACTGAACTGCTTGTTAATCATTGTCCTTATGATACAACTTAGAATTTGCTAAACAAATTAGTTTAAAATACTACAAATAAAAAAATACAATTCAAAAAATAATGTAGATGAAAAGAATAAGAAAGTTTACGCAGTCATCCATACAAATTTTGTCTTACTATCCAGCTCTCCACAGCATTTTTCCATTCACTTACAAGTCCAGAACATGACTATTCTCGAGAAAGCCAAAACTAACTTGCTGTAGGAAACATAGGAAGACCATTCTGCGTCTACACCAACTGGTGGGAAACTATCATTTGCATAATCTTCCAACAAATTTGCAACACGCTTCAAATGAGATGGATGTCGTACAAATTCGATTCGCTCTACTGATTCTGGTATGCTTAAATATGGTGGATTCGGCGTACGCGGATCCAAGTGTTCCTCTTTACTACAAATGTTCTCAAGTAATGAGTCTGATTTGTACAGCAAAGCTTATAATCATGTATGTTATAATTTTTGTATATTTCTACATTGAGTTACTGTATTGAACAGCCTTGCTGATAAGAGTGCTAGTGCAAAAGTAAGTGCTAATTACTAGTTTGGTGAATCGTGATCATCAAAATGTTATCTAACCCACCAAAATAGTAGCTTCACTACACGAACACCTCAATCGGACAGTTAAAATATTACAAGGATTTATCGAATTTACCTTTTATGTGCCATACGTTTTCTTCCGTCGACCGGTATTTTGCAGTTTCGCCACATTTCTGCACCTTGAGGATCTTTAAAGTCTTTGCTAAGTGTTTGCACGACAAATTTTTTCATGGACGGTCTCTGTGCCAGTATTGTCCAAATCACTTCATTCAAGTTTTCAATCTAGAAAGTTCGCATTTTTGATGAAAAATTTAGCTCAACAAGAAGCATAAAAATAGTTCAACTATAAGATTTATTAGGCAATTATTTCACTATTAGTTAACTCTAATCTCATTGCTTTGACCAAATCTGAAGAATGGTTAAATCTATTTGATATTATCAATCTAATTTTTGTAGAAGAGAAATGAGGTCTTTAAAAGATCTGAATAAACTAGCTATATTTCTATTTTCTTTTTGTTTTAAGATCTCTAAGAGAGAAAAAATGCACACCTTCCATGTTTTTTCACAATAATACTTCGCGGCACACTTTTTTACTAAATGATGGGCCCATCTAACACTAATTCGATCATCTGACGGCGGTAATCCCCTCAAGTCTCTCATCAAAGTTGAAAATGAATCACGAAATCCGACGTATGTATATGCCACAACTCTGCCATTCGAATCATTTTGTTTTACGGATCCCAAATAATGAACTAAATTTAATTGTTTCAATTATATAATCAAATTATAGACAACAACAGTACATGAAAATTTCCTTCAAATATTAAAAATCACGCAAAACTTAACTAATTACATTATATTTATGTATTTCCTTCAGAAGTTCTGAGGAACCATGAAATGGATACCAGAAATTACCAACTGCACATTCCCATTCCTTTGGCGAACTGGCCAATTTCTCCACTCGTAACAGAATATCACGGCATCTCTGTCGAAATTCTTCGGTTCGATTTACAGCAAATGATTCAACACTGCTAGCACGTAGAGGACCCAAAAGAGCGGCGGAGTATAAAATTGCTGGATCGTCGAAGTAACGTGAAATTACTTTGTTACGAATGCAGTAATCAACAGCAGCAAAACTGAAAATAAAAAACCAGCTTCGAGAAAATATTCATTTTGATGAAAAGTGATGAAATATTTCAGAATATTTCGAGATCAAATATTCGTGAAAATAATCTTGTGTTGAGGGAAATAATATTTTCAGAATATAAGGCTAATAAGAGAGAATTCTCTTATGACCTTTGATTAAGTAAATAAGCAAAAACAAACTCTTATAGAAGCGAAATGGTTACTAGTTAGTGATCACGATTATTGTGTGCTCAACAGGTCATTTATTGAAAAGCGGTCAACAAAAAGGGGAGTTATGAAAAACCTTGCTTTTCCTGCCGATGCAGCATTAGAAATAATTGTTACTACATCCTTTGGACATTTGTTTAAACTCAATACATAATCGGCTAAGCTCCAAAAATTTGAGTCGAAATTGAAATTCAGCGATACCAAATCCCTTAGAATTCTACATCGTTGCTCATCAGTGACATTTACACGGATACTTGAAAATGAATCCCTTTTGTCCTGAAAAAAGAAAGTTATTTCAAATATAAAAATGAGATATAAAAATTAACGACATCAATTATCACATTAAAAACAGATTCCATTAAGGGAAGAAAACAAAAAATAGACATTTTCATGAAAAAGTAATACAAATTATTAAAAAGTTATTATACATTAAGTATTATACTTACATCATTCTCTCTCGTTTTATTTGGCACATATTCCGAAGCTAAAACGCTCATGAATGCCTGCAAATTAACAGTGAAGTGGAGTAATTTAATTGCAAAAGCAAATGAAATTATTACAGCAAAATTTGAAACAATCAAAAAGGAAAACGTGAAATTTTCGGAATAAAACGCACAACTATAACGTTGTAAGAAAATATCACTTTCTAACCTGTGCAATGAGAAAAATCAAGTGATAAAATCTCGGTGTCCACCAGCTGTTATACTTCGGACATTCAGCTGCAACAATAGGAAACTGTTCAATCACTGCCGCAAAAGCATCAATCAGAAGACGTGGTTCGAATCTGTATATTTCAAATCAATTGAAGAAAAATGGATCATAATTTTCCACTGAGCTATCAAAATATTAATTATTTTTAAAACATCAGGAAAATAAAGAAAAAAAATTTTTAAATCAAATCAAATATGAACTAAGTAACTGAAGATATTTTGAATATCAGATCATCAATAATAGTCAATTTTTTTTTGCTTAGAGCATTTTTTTGGAATAAAAAGAACTACGTCATCGCTTACGAGATATAAGTTTCAATTATTCATGCTACTTCACGCTTCTCAAGAGCTTCATAAATGAAACAAACAATGCTTATTGTATTTAGAAGATTTGAAAACAAAAAGGACGACTCTGTGAGAATAACTGGAACTTAACAATGATTTATACGAGAATCAATCACCTGCTTACAAATAATTCATATCCAATTTGCTTTGTTGACGGAGTGACGCGACCCTGCTTATCCGTTTTCACACGAAATGCTTCATCAATGATGTTGCGAACGATTAATGGATCAATTGATGAAAATGTAGGTTGAGTAGAGGGCACTGATAGCGACGGTGGTCCCATTGATGGTGAGGTCATTTCTGAAATGTCCATTACTGGAAACCGCTGCGCTTCGTTAAATTAGTGGTGCAAACGATGATTCGGAGAACCGCTTCTGATGATAATGAAAATTGAAATGGAATTAAAAATGATGCAAAGCGCATATGGTGATGTCAAGAAAAATGATCATAGTAGTTTCCATTGAAAATATTGAGGGAGAGAAAAAAGAGAGAGAGGAGTAGAGACAGAGAGAGAAATATTCTAAGAAGTGATGAAAAACCTGAAGTTATAATTTTGGAAAAAATATCCAAATACACAAATGAAGAGATAAACACGAAGTGTACCAAATTGATAAGCATACAAAAATTGGGAAAAAAGGGAACTACAGACTTGAGAAACATGTTTTAATCCTGTATTATCTAAACAAATTTGCTTAAATTAATACAAATCTGACCCAGAAACGATGAAGTACGAAGAGAATTCCCAAAACATAAAGTCAAGCCGCAGAATTACCATTGTATCACCTTAACGAGACAGAGAGAGAGGGTGGCTAGTAATGCTGGATTTGGAAAAACTTTATCAAGTTCTTATTTTACCTGCGAACAAGTTGTATGACCACAACACTACAAGCTCACGAAAGTGAAAGGCTTAAGGGATGAATACCACGTCATTCGTTATCTATTTAATATTATATTTATCAAGTAAGAGGGCCGAGGAAGTGTCTTGATGTATGCTATTTTTTTCAACGAAACTAAAATAAGTGATAATATTCCGGATTATCGCGTAACCTTCTGTAAACTAAAATGTGCGCTACACATTCACCCCTACTTCAGGAGAAAAATAAAACTTGGCATTATTGAAACTTTTAAGAGACTAGTCAGTATAGTACAGTGGTAATCCTTACCTGAACTTTAATCAAACATTACCGCCTGGTATTATAACAAGGTCTGTTCGATCAGAATTCTTCTTAATATTAGCAATACCGAATAATTCCACTCCGTTTAGCTAAGATTACGTAATCATTCACTCGCACCACATGCAATATACATCATGAACGATCGGCTGACCGCAAAATACTCGTCGGCAGAAATATGTTTGATGTACCCAGTTGGAGAGGGCTTTGTCGACGTTTCCTACCACCACTGAAATAACGATTTAATGTGTTTGATTTGTTTGCATATTACTTTAATACTCATCTATAAATGACTGTTTGACAACACTGTTTGTATTGGGACTGAGGTCAAGTAGTCTCATGGTAACACCGAGGACTTCAAGAGTTATGCCGCGACTTTGATGAACATTGCTCTAATGGCCTTCAGGCTGATATTATCTTTTTTTCATCAATAAATCATGCTTTCCTGCTATTGACGTTATTTTGAGATGTCATGTTAATGTTCGTAAGTTAATGCTCATATTGAAGGATTATCTAAAATCGATCGGACCAATGAAGACGTCAGCTGATCCCGAAATCGATAGGATTGGTCGATTACTGAACGACAGCAAGTATGATTCCATTCATTTTCTATTTGTCCTCCAGTTTTATATTCAGGCTACTACCGCGATAAAGATATGATCCTTAATAATGAATTAAATCTATAAGGATGTGAATTAGAAACTTTTAACTTTTAACAGTGAGCTTTCATGTTTTCAACTTCCTCCGGAATATTGCCATCATAAATTATGCGAGATTATTTGGGAGATTACAGTTTAAGTTTGATTGAAGTGCCGACTAAAATCGTAAACATTACTTTGTTTTTGCTTGAAGCATACTGCTGAATGGCAAAGAAATCCATGACATGTTTTTTCAGTCAACCACTTTGTGGGCGATTTCGAGCACTTTTTATTTTGCGGAATCTCAGATGTGACCGTTCAGTGGAGTGGATTGGACGATGTTTTGATGATCCATCCGCTCTTTTGAAACATGAATTAGCTTACTGTCTTGGACAGACACAAAATCAAACAGCTGTACCTATTCTTGAATCTGTGCTTCAAGATGAAAATCAAGGTTGATAGAAATCTCTGCTTATTTTAAATATTGTAAACGATTCACTTAGGAGTCATTGATGATTGACCTGGCAGCTTTAAAATTTCTTAGACGCATGAATTTCAGAGGTAATTGTACGCCATGAAGCGGGTGAAGCGCTGGGAGCAATTGGTTCTTGCTCTTCTGCAGCTATCCTTGCGAATTATATTAATGATGAATCACAGACTATTGCAGAAACATGCAGGTTAGCCTTGCAAAGGATAACATGGCTTCAAGAAAATAAATATGATCATAAAGCAGATGAGAAAGAAAGACCGTACAATTCAATAGGTATGAAATCATTATTATAATTTGATTTAAATGAAAGGAATATAGATTGGATTCAAGTACTTCACTCTGTTAGAAATGTCACTGCCATATATCTAAGTTTTGGAAATTTGATCCAGTTAACCGTTATTTTCTTTTGCATATACCATTTTAAACCTTTTTACTTACATTTTTCTGCTGCAATGTTAAAATCTCATTAGGAATATTATTTGTTATTTAAGTTTAGTGAAGAACAAAAAAAGGAAACATTTTGATAAAGAAATATTAATAAAAAACTTGGAATCTTGATTGACAGTTTTTCTTATTTGGTTACCATGCATTTTATATTATTCTTGAAGCTTTCTGCGGACTTTAAGTTGTTTTGTATTCATTGAGTTTTTTTCTCATGTTTATTTAGCATGTTTCAGGCTCTGTCATAATAAAACACTAAGTTATCATTCCAGTTTGTAGATCCAGCTCCTGCCTCAGCTGAAACGAATATTGATAAGCTTTCTTCGATTTTAACAGATACAACAAAGTCATTATGGGAACGGTATCAAGCTCTCTTCAGTCTTCGAAATATCAGCACAGATGAATCTATAAAAACACTTGCAAAAGGTCTCATTTCATGTCCATGAAATCATTCATTCTAAAATTTAATTGTTTGAATTGATGGCAAATGCACTATTCACTGCTTGTCTCAGATATATTTAGGCTTTTTGTTCGTTGATGAAAGTGTGAACTTTTTCTAAAATTTTTCGAAGTTTTTGGGTGTTATTGATTCAATGTATAAATGCTACTTTATATTCATTAAATTTCGATTTTTTCATTTAAACTTATTTTAATACCTTATCATTGATTTCACATGTTTTCATCTTGGAAGCTAATGGCTTTAGACAGATCTCTTGCACAATCGAAGTTAATGCAAGTCTTGTCTAATTTCAGGACTGACTTGTAGCGACAGCGCATTACTCCGGCATGAAGTTGCTTATGCCTTAGGTCAAGCACAATCGCCGATAGCTATTGCAGAATTGAAACACTCTCTGGAGAATGAAAAAGAAAATTGTATGGTTCGACATGAATGTGCTGAAGCTTTGGGAGCAATAGCGACAGAAGAGTGCGAAGAAGTATTAAAGAAGTTTCGAAACGATCCCGAAGTATGCCTGATTTTATCCGTCATACATAATATATATAATCAATGATGATAGCCTGAAATAGGCTGAGAATTCTACTAGCTTGAATTACTGGATGCTCAGACATTCTTGTAGTTTTGCTTATAACTATTTTTTCAGTCATGAAATCTTTTTTCTTTTTTTAATCATATTAAAGACTTTCATTTCCATCGAAGTTAGAATTATAAAGGCTTATTAATTTAAATTAAAGAATAATCTCCAACGTAAAAAATTTCATTTGCAGCGTATTGTGCGAGAAAGTTGCGAAGTGGCGCTTGATATGGCAGAATATGAAAGTAGTGGTCAATTCCAATATGCGTTAATCAATTTTTGAAGATGGATTTACTAAAATCCAAATAGAAGATAGCACCTATGGTATTATGCTATTTTGGCACTTGTTATTTTGATGATCTGCGTATGCTAGAATGTATTTTAATCCCACACTTTCTATTGCATTTTTTATCAAATATTAATAGATGTCTCCAATCTCCTTTATCAGTACTTTGGCTCTTTGTAACGTTTATTTAGTCAAAACAATGCGCCAATATTAATTGGTTATTTCTGTCAATGTCTGTTGTTGTGTTATGATGTGTAATTTGATAAATCTCAAATTTTTAAAGTTTTATTGTTAACAACAATTATTAGTGCATGCAATATGCGTAATAAAGAAATACATGTGTTATTTATTTCTTAACGCATCCATTCTTACATAACTGATTTTTCTTGTATGCATTAAAGCAACAATAAAGTTGTTATTTATAAGACTCAAGGCATTTTCCAATTTAAAAGGATATTTTCTCCGAAGATAGTTGATGAGATTGCATGAAGTATATGTTGTGTCTTTTCTAATTATTTTTGTATTAGTTAAATGATTGTTTCGTGCCTTATTTTTATTTTTAGTTCTAATGTTTTCATACTGCAAGTTTTATTTAGGTAGGAGCTTATATTCGCAGTTACAAGGATGTGGTGACTTCTCGGCTCGTTATTTGGATTATATATTCTCATCGTTCTGTGAATTTAATTGAGATGGTCGTCAGTTTGCTTCAGCATTCGATCCGAAGTACTACTTTTGGTCAGTGTTTATGATTTATGAGTTGGATTATTTACTGTTGGTGGGAAATGATTCAACTGAATTTCCTCGAATAAGTCTATACTGTCTGTCATTCTGATTGCTTTCAGTGAAACCTCTTCACCTATCACGCTTGCGCAATAGATTTTATCGGATGACAAGTACAAATGATCCGGTGCGTTTTACTCGCAAAAACAATTTTGGATTTCATTTATGAAAAATTCTTCCTAGACGGAAGTCCTGACATAAATTTTCTTAGTCGTTACTCACACTGGATAAATCAAAACAATAATTCGCGGTATAAACGGGGTTAACTGCTTTTACGTCTTAAGAAATTTATAGAAATTTGTTTTCAAATTTTTTTTCTTAGACTGTGAACAACGAATTAATTATGAGCTAAAGTATTTTTAATAAAATGCACACTTTAGACGGCTTTAAGTGCTGAAGACTTAGGTCGTCTGTATCATGTGAGCAATGAAGACATTGATACATTGTATTATCGGTATATGTTGCCCCCGAAATTTCGGAAACAAGTGGAAACATTGAATGAATGTGTTTGGTTATATAGGCGACCAACATTTGAAGCAACCACATGTTTAAAGGTTCGGTTTTTAGTTTAACACATTTTCGGTGTCATTTTTAGCATATACTTATTCAAGATAAGTGAATACATATACTGTTTTTGAAAATCGGATAAGTAACATTTATTTCTCGAAAAACAGAAAGCTGAAATTGAAGTGCCATAAAGTTGAGATATTAATGTCAGAATGTTAATTCAGTGGATATAAATTTCCAGTATACTTATTAGTCTCGGAGAATTCTTTCCAAAATTTAGTCAAGAACTATGCTAGTCTCTCTGCTTGAAAAAGTTTTGATTCACTAAAGTTTCACAAGGCACTGAAATTGAAAATGCCATAAAATTGAGATATTACTGCCAAAATGTTAATTCAGTGTAAACCTAGTATTTTAGATGGTACTATGTAAAATAAAACAAAATTATAAATCATAGACGTATTCTTCTCCTAACAATGCATTTTGTTACTTTCTAGTTGGTAGGTGTGGATATTCCAAATTTACGTGTGGTACTGTGGGGTAGATGGGGAACTGGTAAATCGATGACTGTTTTCCAAACAATCTATCACGTGTGGAAGCAAGGATGGACGATATTTACCATACCAAATGGTGAGTGTTAGCAGTAATACATTTGCAACTTTTATTGTCCTTTATTTTCAGTTCCATGTAATTTACGATCTGAATCTCTGAAGCTTAATTTTAATTCAGAGCAAATAATATTTGTCGAAGCGAATAAATCATTTTTATATTGCTTGATATATTTGAAGTAATAAGTCGTCTCCAATTTATTCATTGCAAAACCGTAAATATGTGAATTACATAGTGTGAACTGCAAATATTCGCACTTCCTTATCTCATTATGAAAGAAATTTAATGGAAAGGATGTCTGTATTTCTCTAATAACATAAAGTCTATCATATTCAAGAATAACATAAGAATAACAGTGCATAGTAAAATTATATTTGCAGAATGTAGTTTCTTTTCATATACTGCAATATTTCAGAAATTAAAACTAACTCCTTTTCTTTTCTATTAAAATAGGAAGAACATATGCTTTGCAAAAACAATGGAAAAGCGACTATCTCCTATTATTTTTTACGTTTTAAAGAGTTTCCTGAGAAAATTCTCTGAGAACGATAAGATAAAAAGTACATACAGCCGTATAATTTGCAGTGATAACGATTATGAGGGATTATGATGAAGTGAAACCATCAACGTATCGTGAAGGCCGCATTGATTTTCCCGTACTTGGGCACCAAATATTAAGAAGGTTCAGACTGATGAATACGCCTAATTGGGAAAAACTCAAGGTTTTTTTATTATTTGTTCAAATTTTATAAAATCCAAAAAATGAAATCGAAACAACAATATTTGACATTGTATGTCTTGTATCGAACAAAGTGCTACCAAATTTTAATAAATTCCAGGAATGCAAAGCGCAAAAACACTATAAATGGTCCAAAGTTGAGGAAACAAAAGAAGGAGAACCAATCACAAACATAGTTGACATTGTAAGGCGCTGTTTAAATAAAATTCATCTTTTATGATGATTCCAGTCCTAGTTATATTGGGGAGTTCATTCTTTATACTAAAGGAGAGAAATCTAATAAATTGGAAGCGTATTTTATTTCAGGGTCTTTCCGCTCCTTCTTTATCATCAGATTGTGTTGGTGGTTTGCTTCGAGAATTAACATATCACTGTAGTGCTGGTAGATTTCCGTTGCTTGTGACAATCGATCATGCAAATTCTCTTTATGGCAAAACAACAATGAAGGATAGAAATCATAAATTTGTAGATCCGAAATACTTCACCTTGATCCATCATCTCCGGAAGTTATTACGAAATGAGTGGGTAAGTTCATTCATTTAGCAGAAAAGGCTTGTGATGTAAGTGACATGCCGTTTTTGAAGTTTGCAATTTTGACATGAAGCCGTTTATTTTTAAGACGAATGGTGCATGTTTGTTGGTTGCCGATAAAAGAGAAGTCAGTGACGCACGTGATCACCTTACAGTACCACTGGAGACACCACTGGAACTTTTCGGAGAGGTTAGTTTAATGGTGCAGAAAAAATTGTTTTCCTTTGATTTTTACGCGAATGGATCTTTACATTCTGATCATTATAGAATATAGAAAAAATCGAGCCTTTTATACCCATTGAAACTTCATTATATTCGGCCGAAGAAATGGATACTATCTATGACTATTATCTTGAAAAGAAATGGATTACTTCTGAGTCAGGTAAAATCTAAACCTGGAAACGGGTTTCCAGAAATTATGAGCAGAGACAACTACGCAGCTTTAAAAGATGAACTATAAGCACAGAAAATTTTCAGTTCATACAATCCTTTAGTTCTCTCGAAGAGTAGTTAACTCGCTTATCATAAAACTAATGAAGCTACTGACTGGAAATTTATTTCATGTTAAATATCATATTACCACACTCATCTTTTACTTTGGACCTCGTGACATAGCTTCAGGTCGCACAGAACGGGCAAAAAAAGAGTTGAAGTTCCTGAGTGGAAGGAATCCGTACTATTATGAACGAATCTGTGCCTTTATTTGATGTTGGAATGAAAAATTTTTGTCTATTCGGCCCTTTTCTATCAAAAAGTACCAAGAATTTTTTAAATCTCACAAGAACCAAGATTTAAAAAAATTATGAAATTTGAAATTTGCATTTCACTGAAAGTTTTTCATCATTCCTACTGAATTTTATCAGGAACGTAAAAAACATGATAACATATGTGTTACTTTTATCACTGTTATCATAAGTGCTTTATTTAGTCAGAGAAATCACAAAATTTGTACATAAGAACTAAATGTCACAATGGTGGTTCTTTTTGATTCTTCATAGAATTTAGGATTCCAATCATATCCACGACATGATAGTTAAGTGTCGAAGTGAGTTCATTAGATGGTACCGATAAAAGTTGTAGTGTTTGAACGCGGTGATCTTCTAGTGATGGCAATTTGCACAGTTCTTTCACTTCCGATATCGACAATATTCGAGACCCATAAATAACAGCTGCCAATGAATGCATGCAAGAGTATTCATATAAATACTTGAATCTTCAAAACTAGGATACATTCAAAGTGAAACGAAGGCAAAAATCTGTAGTAAGTGAAGTAAACTCAGGGCACTCACTGATATGAGATAAACATGCTGTAACATCATGTAAAGAAGCCCTTTTGGAAGAAATTCATGACACTAATTGCTAAGCTACTCTGTGTTTTCGGTCACAGTTTTTACAACATTCCAAGAAATTTGAATTAAAAAACCACCTATTGGTGTCAGCCAGTCAATCTTTTCGCACTCAGTTATAACCGCTTTAATTGCATTAATATCTTTGCCAAAAAGTTGGGCGTTTGTGGCTACAAATATTGTATCATTGAGTGACTGCAGCGGGGTACCTTCGAATACTTTCTTCATAATTCGATTGCCATAATCCCGAAATTCAAGGCCTTTTAACCGCAGCCTGGAACTAAGTAATTCATAAGACGTCACAAATATCATCATGCTGAGCAAACAAAAATACCCGAGGATATATTTCCCTCCCTAAGTCAACAGCTCAAAAACTATGGATCGAAATAAAAGTTAGGAAACTTACTGATTTCGAGTTAACCATTCTGTCCGTTGCTTTACAGCGAGCCTGTGACAAATACCCATAACTTGATAACCCTCATTTTTGGTTTTTTCACGAATATGTTGTATTAGTGCCATATCAAATGCTGAGTACTAAAAGGTCATACAGCACCAAATTACAATAGATTTAATGTAAGTTGAAAATTGAAATAATTAAAACCAAAATTCAAAACTTGAACAACAAACTTTTGCACTCGCTAAAATAAAAGCAACAATTAAATAAAATAGAAACAAACGTACGGAAGATTTCAATTCGCCAATAAAATCGATAATCCCCTTATATGGAGGGCACATGCTTTGAGTCTTGGGTACCATAGGTTCCAATGAAGCATCATATAATCGTCTCCGATATGATCGCGGTCGTCTGAGTGGCCAGTTCGACGAAGCCTTCCCTCTTGTGCATAAGTGGAAACTCAATACCGACGGTAGTAACCTGGATAATTCCAATGGTAACCACATCTATAACGATAATGATTGAGGGAATGTAACGATCCTACTTCCTAAGCAAACCACGGGTTATATTCCCGCTCTTCTCAGTGAACCAACGTTATATTTTTGCATTTAACCTATATTTAAATTATTTAGCAAATACTCCTAATAAAATTGGAACCATACTAATCGAACTAAACATCATTCTTGCACGTTTCACATCCTTGATTTCAGTTCGCTACAGACAATATATTGTGCTTTTACCATAATTTTTAAAAAAAAGTAGCATTCACACTCTATTCGTAGAAGAGCAAATGGTGTGCTTTTCTAATACAAAGAGCTGAACATCTGATAATTGGATATGCTCATGTATAAAAACGAAGAAATAAGAAAGGACCATTAAGAATATTAAACTATTAAAAATGATGCAATTCAACTTTTAATTCCAAATTTTAAACATCCACATACAGAGTTGCCTATACTTTAGCAAATATGTTACATACAAATATCAAAACATAGATGTACATAGTTTTTATACATATTTAAAGAACAAATTTCATAAAAATTAGAATTCCTTTATTTGATTGTTAGTTGGAAGTCATTCCTCTTATATGGCGCGATACAACTGAAGCCTTGAAACAGAAATCCTTCTGGTTTCATACGATCTAATTACTTCCAAATTTCTATTTGATTAACGTTTGTTTTTCGACAAATTTAACGAAATGATCATTCAGGCAACGTCCCCTTTCATCGTACAACAATATGCTTCGATCGCTTTCGCCTTTGCCAAACAGAGCCGTTAAGTGTAGCGCTTCTTTGCATATGCTGCGTAGAAAAATACGTGCTCCAATACCCAACCACCGTGCATCCATTGGACCAGACAAGCGAAGTGGTCCCAAACATGTTGGAGGCCATTCCTCGATTGACAGCTGTAAGAATTTTTAGTGGGAAAAGTGAAAAAAAGAACATTAAATGACAAATAAATGATAAAAAAGTTCTTAAAAAAAGTTCAATTAATGTTAGCTGGGGGCTTAATAAAATATTCGCAGTGGCATTTGTATGATAAAAATAAGACGAAGTCCACCACACTGTGCTCGTCAGCGCAGAGTTGTTCTATTGTGCCCTAGAAAAACTAGAGAAATCATGAACCAGTCCAAATGTCCAGAATTTAATCAGATATATTAGATACTAAAGAGTTAACCCGCTTAGGCAAACGATAAAATCGCGAATTATACTCGACAAACTTCTCTTCGCCAGTATCCACACATAATACTTTCCATTCATCATCTTCACGAGCCAAAATTTTCACTCGATTCCAACAATCATCAAACCAAAACAAATAATGTTCATTTTGACAACACCATGATCCTGATACTTCTAGCAGGTCAGTCTAAATATTCATGCCTCCTTAGTGTGTTCATGCCTCCTTAGTGGAATATTGTAAAGTTTTTTTATAACAAAAATATGTTGATTATTACTCAGATCAAAATGTAACAACACGACTATATGCGTCACTTTAAAAAAATATCGCTACCAACCCGGAAATGAAGTGCTTCATTGTTAAACAAAAACCAATTGCTACAACAAAAATAACTAACATCATCTATATATGAAAGCTTCTTTCTGAGTGCCTCATATTGCATTTTAGTTTCTGCTGTACTTAAAAAGATTTCTGTCGCGCAGTTTATGCTCAGAACTTCCACCTGCACTGATTTCTGTGATAGAAAAAAAGATTAAATTGAAAAGTCTATGAAAAAAGATTTCATCAGCTCATTTTAATGAAGAAGAAGGAAGACACACCTCACGTGGATCAGAATTTTCAGAGTATGAGTCGGAATTTTGTAGTGGAGGAGATGGCCGAACTATAACGACTGATGGTCCCTGCAAAAATTAAAAAATCAAATTTTGTTAAAATTGAGCTGAAGAATTCTTAAGAACAAGGAATTTCTTAACAAATGAATTTAAATGGGAATGAAACTATAGATTCATTGGACTTGAAGTGGAATAAAAGCCTTGGTATTTTACCAATTTAAGACAATCAGCAGATGCAGTAGAAAAATTAGATGGAAATGGAACGCTTAACAGTTGACATGTGAGTCTTTCTCAATCAGCAAAAAAACTCATCATCGAGCATCTACATCTTTTTTCTGTCAATACAAGGATGTGAGTTACACACATTTGTTGTAACATATAAATTTTATAAATGTATCAATAAATCAAGGACTCACTTTTGATTGCTGTTTTCGTCTGACCGACTTGTTGAAAGCATCATTTTCGCTATCTGATTCGCAAGAAGTAAGCGATTTATTTAAATAGTCATTTTCGAAATTCTGAAAGCGCTAGGATAATAAGATTGAAGCAAACGACATACACATTAATTCTATATATTCTATATATCTATAATTCTATATATCCATGAAATCGCAAATTTTTAAATATTTTTCAGGTGAATGCTGAATATTACGAGTACAAACTTGTATTAGACAACAATAGTTACCGTAGAAGAAGATGAAGAAACTGATGGTTTTCGTTGCTTTTTATGCAATGGAAATGATATCCGGAAGGGATTTTCTTTGAGAGGTGTTCCAGGAAGTTCGACCGTTGACCGTGGAAATAATTTGGGTGTTTTGAAGTGTGACTGTGGTGATGATGATGATGATGATGATGATGATGATAATGATGAAACTGGCATTATAGGTGAGGGTGGAATTGACCTTAAACGATTTGCAGCTAAGGTGTTAAACGCACCTGTATAATGCCGTTGCGATGGTTGCAAAGAACTGACACCACAACGCAAAGGTAATGTTCGCCGCTGTGAACCTGCAAATCTACTGAAAAATGTTATCCACTCGAAAAAATTAACTTGTTATTCGAATTAAAATTTTCAAAGTGTTCCTTATCCAACCATCAAGTTCACCAAAATTGTTTAGTTATCTATGTGGTTTCTAACGCTACTGAGAGTACACTCAAGCATAATTATTCTACTTCCTGAGCTAGTTTTATATAAGCCATCAAATTTCTAAAAATACATATTTATCATTGCATAACTCTTAAAATCGTATACACTAACCTAATGACAGTGAATGACTGAAGGGTTCAAAGTGGCGTTCCTGTGGAACAAGCACTGTGCGCGGGAAACTCATGCTGGATGAGAAAGACGCCATATCAGCATGTGAATCTCTGCCCGAAGTTAAGTATAGCCGATCTATTCTCTTAAAAAAGAATCTGATTTCGTAGCTAATTAACTGCTCTGAAGTCTCAGTTAAAACTTTCAACCAGTTGGAAAAAAATCAAAATGAAAGACTTGCTGTATCGATGTTTCCTAAAATATCTGAATAGTTTTGTCCAAGTCCTGATCGACGGACGGAATCCACCTAGAACAGTTATTGCATCTTATAAACGATACAGCATTTTTGTAACTCAGATCACTTCGGGAAAATCTCGTCAAAATTTAGTTCTGAAGACTGCCTGATGTTAGAATCCAAAAATCAGCCTATCAAACTGCCAAAATTTATAAAAATAATAATAAAACTGGTTGATTACCGGATAAGACAATTAATTACTCAAGCATTGAATGCCTGTTAGAGGAGATATCTGCAGCAAGCAAAACTGAAGCTGTTAGATGAATCAAACGAAACAAATTTTTTAATTTAATTATAAATGTACCTCCAGGGCATGTTCAATGTATTCTTCAAGCTTTAGCCCATTTACGAGCTCAATGATTGAGAGGGTTGATGACGCAGGAGAGTAGACACGTACATGGGTCCCGACTTGGAGGACTTCTTTTGCTACTGTCGATTTGGTGAACGTTTCCAACTTATCAGTGGTATCGATTGCTCGAATAGAACAGCACTGAAATTATTTTTCAGACTGAAAAAACTGAATAAATTCTCTCATCTAATAATAATAATTATAATGTTGGCATAACGGCTTAAAAAATGAAAGAAAATCATTTCACCGTGAATGTCAATGGTGATAAGGCGATAACCCAAATGGCTTATCATCATAATGTACCAGAAATGCTTATGTTAAACAAAATGCTTGTGTTAAACACTTCGCAGATATACAGAAATGAAGAATTACCAGATATTATTGACTTGCTTAAAAATTCTCTCCACTCATAAAAGGTCAGCTACTAGTCTTGAGCTAACCTAAATATATAAAAACACATATTTATAGCATACTAGTGGAGGAAATAACAAATCCGTTCGAAGCATGTAAATTTCACCATCACGGAATTTCAAGCTACGTAACGTAATAGACGGGTAATCGACGGAAGTGACATCTATCACTGAACGATCTCCGCTAGTACAAATCACACGAGCACGCACCCAACGCTGCAACAGTAAGACATTCTTCGTTCATTGTATTGTTTTAAAACCATCGAGCATTAAATGAGAGCACTTCATCACACTCCCCGAATTATCACGTCAACGTACATCCTCGAGATATCACATCAACACCATTTAACGTGAAATTCACCTATCCCAATGCTCTTCGTAAAAACTAAAATTACCTACTTGATTGCCATTATCCCATGCAACGCACGCTAAACCCTCGCCGATATGCACACCTGTCTCAAAAGCTAATTTACCACGTAGCTCCTCGTTATCGTACACTGATTCAAGAAATTGTTCGAGATACATTAGACGAATTGATTGCTCTAAAGGTGTGGTCTGAGTTATTTATGATTAGAGACGTGGTCGAAGTCTAGCAATTGTTAGGTAGAAAGGACACTTGGCAAGATACGTCGCAAGGCATTATCGCTTGTTAGACAAATTCGAATACCCAATAGATAAGGATTAAACCATTATCGTTCATTTAGCTAACGGATTGACAGTTGTGGTACTTTTCATCTAAGGCCTGGAACCATCGAGGAACCAAGTCACATAACTTGTCATATCCATTCCATCCACACGCTAAAATCATCGGGGCTAACATTTTAGGCCTAAGAAGTCATGCCTCGCCATGCCTACTTCCATAACGGCATTATGATTGGCAATGATAATGCCGTTATGGAAGCACACGTTTAAGGCCTGTTTAGGATGATCAAATAAAGATGAGAATTACCTGGTCCTCGAACTTGCACATCTTCTAAACTTTCAAATGCTACAACTGTTACGTCACACCAAATATCACATGGTAAATTGGCCATGGTATATGAGCCAAATGCTACACCGCGACATCGACGTGATTCCCCGGTTAGCGTTGTTGCCCTGAATTTATTCACTTAATCAATCAAAATTTCACCATATGAAATTGTTTGTTTTAATTTTCAATATTTTATATTATTAATTGTTTATTTAAATCATTTTCTTTATTTTCATGCCAATGAGATTAAAAAAGATATATATTTCATCTAATTATTTCATAAATTACTAATTATTGAAACACTGATTAATTAAACTTAATTAATACACTCTAAGGCTGCCTTTTTTAATTTTTTGTATTCTTTTCTATCTTCAAGGATATTGTAATCATTATATCAAATGTTTATATATCACATAGTCCTCATCTGAAAGTATGAACATTTGTTATATCATTATATGTTTGAATACTTTTAAAACGTGTAGATTAATTTTTATATGTAACATTAGATGGTATTATCTGATAAATATATTGTTAATAACTTAATCGCTTGATTACGTTCGGATGATATTTATAATTGATAAAGTGCTGATAACGTGAACACATACCAAAGTCTTGCACTTCCTGGATCAAGATCATCAATTAACTTTTCTACTTGAACCCTTACAAAAGCTGAAATTTTGAATTATTTTTTCTGCATCTGCTTTCCGAATGTTCTTGACATATTTTTTGACCAAAGTAATTTGCTGTATAATAATTTAAGGGGAAATAATGCCAACATATATGATATTTATTTAAATGTACATATGTAATTACATATTCAACTTGTGCTAATTTCGATTAACCAACCTTCAGTAAGAAGTGCTAAAAATGGTTCACGATCAGAGAAAACAAAGATATTCACTAACTGTCCATTATGCAATCTTTGTTCATCAATAAAACCTGCTGCCATTAGGGAATTTTGCTTTGCTGCAATAATAATAAATAATAAGTAATAAATAAAAATAAATAAACAATGAATAATAAATGATAAATAATAATAAACAAGTAAATAAATAATAATAAACAGTAGTAATAAATAATAATAAACAGTAGTAATAAATAATAATAATAGTAATAAATAATAAAAATAAATAATAATAGTAATAATAATGGATGATAATAATGAAGATCTATAAATGTGTTAAATTAATTACGCTGAAAACAAAAAAAAGCTCACATTTATGCGGTGATACAAAGCGCACACCAAAAGTTCGTTTATACTGACCGGTGAGAAATTTCGGATGCAACATAAATAACTCATAACGATTAAGTGTTAGAAATTGTCCATCATCTACTGTTTCAATGAAACATTGATTTATATTATAATCAATTTGGTCAACACGTACACGTTTCCAGGATCCATTCACACGAGCTGCGTAAACACCTGTTTGTTTTATCTGTAAATCAAATAATTCAACAATAATTTTTTGTAATTACTCGACTAATGGTAGTATGTCAATCTATCAGCTACAATCATTGATTTGCTTCCTGAAAATAACTTATAATGATTCGTTATATTTCATATAATTTTTTTTTCAACCTTAAAGATAAGTTTTAAATTTAAAAGAAAACAAAACAATGAATAGGCAAAAATAAAATTGAAGAAATGGAATTTCAAATTAACCCTTAATGCAGCATTACATTCAATTTCACTGTTATAAATTTCATTCATTTGTATTTGCAATGCATCATACAATGCTTCATCGTCCTTCAATGTACAAGTGAACTGTCGATGAGAGGCATCATAATGACGAAAAATTCCGGAAATTTTCAGAGCTGCAGATAAACCAGGCGAAGCGGAATAATTAGTAAAAAGTGATTTGAAATGACGTCTTAATGGAGTATTGACCATATTCTGGCTTAGTTAGAAGTTATACTATCTATTCATTTATATTAGAAAGTCAGAAGGGGTCAAAAGAATCAGAAAGTCAAAAGGGATCAAATAATATGCTTACTGACCGGATCGAATCATCCAGAAGCTTGCAAAAATTTATTTGGAATTGTGGATAATTTTCGATTATTGTATATTATTATGTATTATTCATTGTCATTAAAGTCTTTTTTTTTACATTTATTATTAGTTACCACTAATTAATTACAATAACGTAACATAATTAATTTTTGACCAATTATAATACTGCAATGAATAATTTGCAGCTTTTAGCTTTACATTTCTTAAAATGGCAGAAAATAAAGGATTTTATTTTAAAAAAATCGATATTTTTAATAAGTTAATTAACGAAAATTTTCAAATAGCAACATATTATTTAATATTATGCATGTTTGGCTTATTTCAATTCTTATAAAAGCTTTACTTTACTTGTTGGATGTCAGCTCTAATCGCTACAAAAGAAGTGTGCCAGTAGAATTTCAACAAATAAAGTTTGCAATTATTGTAGAACACACAAAATGACATCTTAAGCACAATTACTTATTAATAGATAACACAGATTACAAAACAGGTAGCATTCAGAAAATGCCTTTGGTTGAAGTTTATGATTATTCTATATAAGAGTCTGCAATGTATGAAATAAGCCTCTAGTGAGATGAAGAAAAGGACATTCCCATGCCGGGAATCGAACCCGGGCCGCGTGGGTGAAAGCCACGAATCCTAGCCACTAGACCACATGGGAGTTGTTAGCATTCATCGGCTTAAATGTTTTGATATAATGAACGATGGGTGATAATTTTTTTTGAGAATTGGAAACTTCAAAACTTTCTCTCTTTCCTCCCACTCTCTTCATCCCGATCTACCATTCATTGGTGAATTCCAGTGCGGGAAGATCAACGAATTGACTGAGTAATTTCTTTCATCCATCGATTGAAATAAAAACGATTATAATTACCATAAAGTTAAAAAATTTTGATTAATATATTCTTAAAATTGTTATATATATATATGTATATATAAATTCATTTCTGTAATTTAAAAAAAAAAATCATGAAATAGCGATGAAAAACAGTATTATACAATGAATTAATTAATATGCAAATGCAATATCATATCGATCGATTTATCATCGGTGGAAAATAATTTCCTTCTCTTATCATTTATGTTTCATCAATAATATAAGCAATTTAATAATGTTTATAATTTATTAATTTTATTAATTTCAGATTACTTTTAATTTTTTCCTTCCCTCTATTTCCTTTCAAATGAACAACGTAATGATAAAAAAATGTTGAATATGCTTACCTTAGTTATTAACGTTTATTATCATTTTCATAAAACATTATGTTAAGAGAAAAGATGATGGAAAATTTGCGTATATTAATTTTAAAATTATAATTTTTTTTGATCTAAAAAGGAAATTAATTATAATTTTGTTATTGTTTATTATTATCAGTTATAAGCAAGCATATATGCTAAAAGAAATTGGCAGAAATAATGATAAAGTTTATGTATATAATATATATAATTTATAATTTATAAATATAAATAAGCATAAGGTTAGCTTTTTATTTTACTCATATTTTTATAAATTTTCATTTTTTTAATTTACACAATTATATTGAAGTAAAGATATAAATAAAGTAAAGAAAGCTTATTGAATCGATTAATTGTTTAATGTAGGAGAAATTTCTCTGTTTCTTTTTTTGAAAAATATCATAAAAGTGGTTTGAGTAACATTAGAAATGATAGGTAAACATTGTATATATATTCTACATGTGCTCATATCTTCAACATATCGAATACAATAAATATTATTATATCACAGTGTGCTTATAATTGGCCTTTCTACTTTTTACGACATTTTTTTTTTAGAATAAACGAATATTTTATATGTTTAGCAATTTCTATTTTCTATGGCACATTAACTATTGTAATCATAAATGCTTAGAATAAATTATAATTTATTAATTAAATAATTAATTAACTAAATAGTTAATCATTTTTATTAAGTAGTATTTTATAAATAGTTTGCTTTGGGAATAAAATTAGAAAATATGATTATGATTAAGATTATGAATTAAAGTTTGTCGAATGTTGCAGGAAGAGTAAATTTAATAAATGATACATTCTACAGTAATAATTTCCAGTAAGTATAATTATAAAATAATTTTAATTTAATAAATTAAGTTCTTCTTACCAATATTATAATTATTCGTTTAAAAGGAGAATGATTACAAAAATAAGCTTTTATTTATGATATTAATAGAAATTCTTTTTCTTTTAAAAAAAAAGATATATCATTCATATTTTTATTATATTTCAATAATTGTTTCATTTGCTTGAATGACTCATTTAAAATAAATTTAAATTTTCATAGTTATCTTACGGATATGAAAGAGAAAATTTTGTCCAAATAAAACAAATATGATGATGGGTTAGTCAAAAAGCATTAAAGAAATTCAGAAAATATCGTGGCTATTGTTTCTTCAAATTAGATTATTGAATTTCCATATTAATGGTAACTTAACCAGTAATTGTCTTAAACAGGAAAGATCAATGATGATCGATGGTAAACTTCGACAATTTCATTTTGATATGTTTAACTTTCAGTAAGTATTGTGCTGGAAAATGAATTGATTGCATTGGATGATAATCGGATTGTCCTAACAATGTTCATTGAGTGAAAATTATTAAACTGTTTCAAGTTGAGAACAATAATTTAATAAAGCTTAAAAGAAAACATCCAGAAAAGATGTCAATCCATTGTTTTTAATAGCTACAGTATTAATTTCGATTTCGGATACGAAGATAATGACAGTAACATATTCAGCTGATGTTGGTACTGTTCGATTTACTACTTTTTTCAAATTAATCTTCAGGTAAGTATTTTTTCCCTTTCTTTTCATAATAATAATTCATTTCGTTGAATTCATTTTTTCTTTTTAAAAAAAATATAACAATTTTTTAATTTCCAATTTCTTCTTATTTTCTCAAAGTAAACAATATAATTATGTTATGATATATGCATACTTTTAACTATTTACTTATCACTATTATCAATTAAAATTTAAAGATAAATAAGAAATTTAATGTGATATTTTCTTTTTAAATCATAATAATTCCCATTTATGAAACATTAAAAACTTTTATCACATTTACAACGGTAAATATGATATTCGGATGAAGATGACTGCATTAAAAAATGAGATTGATATATTATTATTAATGTTTGTTATTATTATTATCATTATTATTATTATTATTATCATTATTATTATTATTACTGTCATTAACTATTAGTAGTAAATAATATTATAATGATATCTTACAGATGGCGAGGTAGCATTTGGAAAACAATTTTCAACGAACTTGTTGCATGGATGATTGCATATGCATGTCTTTCTATCCTATACAATTTTATACTAACAGAAAATCACAAAAGGTTTGATTTTAAAAGCCAAGCGAAACGAATTGAATAGGCAGATCTTTCTCTTATTGCTAACATTCTTTTGTTATGAAACTGTTTGCATTTTACCTTATGATAATATGCATGTGACATGCATATCACATATTTTCATATTTTAAAAATACATTTGAAAAATTACATCAGACATACAAAAAAATACATCTTAAATTACCAGCGAAATATAACATTTGGCCGTAATAAGCATAAAAAATTATTATTATTGCCACTATTACTATCATTATTATATCATTTATTATTGTCATTTATTGTTACCATTTATTATTATTCTATTAATTATTATTTACTAACTATTCATTGCTGTTAGTAATTACTATTAGAGAGATTAACAAAATATTCTTTCGGCTGGCACATGTCAACATAAATAAAACGATACCTAAATAATTGTGATTATGTAAATATTAGGTTTAATTTATCCATCCAAACTTATTCATTTCATAATCAAAAAAGAAAAATGAAAATTCTGTACAACGAATGATATAATAAATAAGAATGTTATAAACAAGAAGGAATGAATCAAATAAACATATTTACATTTTATTTCTTTTATAGAATCTTTGAGGATATATGTCGTTTATTTACGAAATATACCGATGTAATACCAATAACATTTTTGCTTGGCTTTTTTATCAATATTGTTGTTAACAGGTTTTGGAATTCATTACATAACATCGGATGGATTGATACGTAAGTTTAATTTCTTTGTTCATTATTATTCATTGAATTAATTCATTTTTTTGTTTGAATGAAATGAAATAATTTAATTGAATAATTATTGGGAATTATTTACTAAAAGCATTTCTGTAACATGAAATATTTTAGTTTATTTCATATTTCAATTAAGTAAAAATGCAACATCTGTCCCTATAAAATAATTTTAGAACCTAACATCACTAATCAATTATTAAAATTATGAAATTACTAATTAATCATTAACCAAAAAAAAATAAGATCCACTTATGTAAACGTCATAGTAACTAATTACTCATCAATTATTTATATTAAGCTGCAAATTGAGAATAGTATTATTTTATAGACCAGCTTTGTTTATATGCGAATATATTTCTGGTAACGATGATCATGCTCGATTGTTACGAAGAAATTTAATCCGTTATTTACTTTTTTATCAGGTAGATAAAAAGTTATTTTAATTTATTAAAAATTTAAAAACCTTCAAAAATTTTTAAATGAAAGAGGAGAAAAAGTTCCTTTACTATTATAGCACAAGAACTGTTAACATTAATTACTATAAAACCGATTTTTGTGCTACGTAATTTATGATTTTTAAAATGCTGCATGTTTTCAATTGATATTGATCGAATACATGCAAATTATTTTAATTTATAATCTTTAAAATACTACGAATAATTCTGCAATAAATGAAGAAATCGATTCTATCAGAAATAATTTGAATTTCTTCTAAAGTTTGCAACGATTTGGTTTATTTTAGTAATACTTCCACTATCATAAATTATTTCAAAATTGAATATTTTTCTTTTGTTTTTTATTGCTTTATATTCCATACTTTAAATTTAATTTCTGTCAAACATATGCAATTTGACGTGTAATGAATTTTACGTATTCATTTTTTTATTTGAGGTACTTGTATATCGTGATATAAGTGAAGTGATACGTCGAAGATTTCCCTCGTTGGAAACATTAGTAACAGCCGGTAGATTTTTAATTTTTTTCAATCCATTTGTAAAAATATACAAATTTAATTAATTCTAATTATATTCAGTTTATTTGCATAATAGTTTATAAATAAATCATTGTAATGATAAGACAAACAAAAGTAAAAAGCGAAAGTCAAATAATTTGTAAATAAAAAAAATTTGGAAAATAACATTTCTAAACAAATTATGGAAAGATTTTTGAATTATATACTCTTCCAATATGATTGATAACATTGATTTTTCAGATAGTAAAATCAATTAGTACTATTTATAATTATGTATCTTTTTTCTTTTCAAAAAACATTTTTATATAAATTGAATGAATGAAATTTCCATTGTGAATTAACAAATAAATAAATAGTAAAATATACAATTTAGTAATTTTAGGCTTTATTAATTAATCCATTTTTCTTTTTTTACAATTTATCACAATTAAATGTTTTAATAATTTAATTAAAACCAAAATCAATTTAGTATCATTCCTTTTTTTGCAATTTTAGGTTACATAACAGAAATTGAATTAATGCAATTTAATGCAATTGAATCGAAAAATCGCAAATATTGGGCACCAATTCATTGGGCGATGGGAATAGCACGTCGTGCACGACGTGAAAAGCGTATTCATAGCCCGCAAGCATTGAAAGATGTTTTTGATGTAAAATTTATCAAATAAAATATTATTTTCAAAGAAAAGACAAAAAAAATTAATTAAATTTTTATCTTTAATAATTAATTTTAAATAATAAAATTTACAAATTTAAGAAAATAAATATTTTTCGATTACAATTATCGGAATTAATTATCAATGATTGGGTACCAATACCATTGGTTTATTCGCAAGTAATGTGTTTGACTGTTCGATTGTATTTCTTTCTTGCATTAATGGGACATCAAAATATTGCATTACCATCTGATGCAAATTATATCGATACAGTTTGCTTTTTTCATTTTCTATAATTTTGCAATTATATATTTTAAATGAGTTATGAAATATTTAATTTAAAATTAATTGAAGGCTGTCAATAAAAAGTTTATGAATCATAAATTAAGAAATGTATAGTATAATATTAAGGAAACAGTCAGGCAATTCTAATATTAAATTATTATGATATAAGTATATAACATACTAAAATTATTAATTCAATTAATTTAAATTATTCATAGTATTAATTATTTTCATTATTGATGGAATAATTACGACTATAAAATTGATTAAAGCTTAAACTTTTTGAAGTGAAAAATCATTTTTTTACTGTTATGGATAAAAAGTAATATTAATGTTAAGATTAACACGCATATACCATTCATGTCAATGTGTCAGTTTATATTTTATATGGGTTGGATGAAAGTTGCCGAAGTTTTGATGAATCCATTTGGTGATGATGATGATGACTTGGAAATCAACTGGCTTATTGATCGTAATTTGCAGGTGTGCTTTAATATATCTTCAGTGTAAATGTTATTTTAAATATATGTATAAATGAAAATTTTTTAGTATATTAAACAAAACATAATATTAATTTAAATATATGAATGTTTTGCATTTTTCTCATGTATTTGAATATTTTATGAAATTTTTTTAAAAAGAAATTTTGATTTCGTTATATTTTTGAGTTTTAAACCTTTCTCTTTCTTAAAAAGAAAAGTCATATTAATATTACATATCATATTCTGATCATCATTAGGTCGGTATGACAATAGTGGATCAAACATGGGAGCCGCCGCTAATTAAGGACCAATTCTGGACGCTAAAAACACCGGAAACGATGTATAGTGTCCATGCAGTCAACGAACGATACAATCCGCAAACCGGATCAGCTTCGAACACTCTGTGGTATTTTAAATTTTTAAAAGATTGGTTAAATCAAATTTCAATTTCAGACAAAATTTTTTTCCGCGTTTGTAATTTTACTAAACAAAGCGATTACATCATTCACTTTTCTCGGCTTATGAAATTTACTTTTAAATAATGAAATTCAGGATGTAATGGCTATCTCCACTTTTCTGTCGAGGCATTTTAGAACTCTATAAAGCCGTAATACTGAAATAATTTATAGCTTTTTAATAACTGAGTTGAGTTTTCTTCCTTTTCTTCCTTTCTTCTTCCCTCTAATCGAGAACTTTTCCACTTAGCAAGTGATTTCAAATTTTAGTAGACGAAGAAGTACGCAAATGATAATGAAGGACATGCATTGTCAAAATTCGGACAGTGATTTCGTAAGTAGCGAATATGATGATGAAAGGTAATATTATTTACCAATTATTTTACAGCAATTATAAATATGTTAAATTCTAAGTGACGAAAATTCTTTTTTAATATTTGGTGTTTTTAGGCAAAATATTAATAATCATACTCATGAAAGTCAGCGAGGCCTAGGCTATTTAATATTGTGTAGGCTATTAAAACACTTTGCATGATTTAAATCTTGAGTACGTCTTTGATTGCAATTTAACTAAAATAAATTTTCAATTTTACTTAAATTTCCGGAAATAAATATTTTGTCTAATTTAAAACATCTAATTGTATTTATATAGAACGATGAAACATAAAATTTAAAAATTTTTCTTATTATAAATGATAATTCAAATAGGAATGAATATTTTTTAGTTTATTTTTTTGTCAACCAATTATTAATTATTTCAACATAGACAAATAATTCCTTTAAGAAAAAAGTGATATTTATTTAGTTATTATTGTGGTTTTCATACTGAAGCGATTTTAGAAGAAATTCTGCGTTAAGTACGACAGTAAGTGGTATTCGTGATGCATTTAAAAGGCGACTATCACGTTTTGCATCACGTGTAGAATCTATAACTGATGTTGAATCTCCAGCATTAGATAAAACAAATATTGGATCAGGTAATATTTCGAAAAAATGAAAACAAATTTTTAGAAGGAAATACTCACTAATGAACTTGATGATGATGATGATGATGATAATCATGATGGTAATAATGATGGATTTAAGAGTTCATTTGCAATTCATTACAATTAATTCCATGCGAAAAATATAAAGTGAAAATTTAACTTAATGATCTCGATATTAGCATGATATTTTTTATTACAGAGATAACACCTTCTATCAATTAAAAAAACTTTTTACCTAAAATAATTAATTTTAGAAGATTATAATTCATCGCTACCATCGCCACAACCTCAGCAGAAAAAAGTGCATGAACACCGTGAGTTAAGTGTCCTTCATGAAGAAGATGAAAATCGAAAGCAAAATTGCGGATGCGAAAATATTTCCAGACATTCACCAATACTAAACGATCAGAGTGATCATAAAAAATTACAAAATAGGCATTTGAAAAAGAAAAGACGGAAGATAATTAATAAAGCGGAAAATGAAAGTATGCAAAAGGAAGACGAAAATAAATGCATAAATTTAAAAAAAATTAATTACGATGGTGATGATGAGGTTAGCTATATATTATTAATTATCTCATATTATATCATTTATTTCTCTTCATAATTGATATAATTCTTATCACTAATTGCAATGGAGAAGAGCAAAGATAATAATAAAATAATGCATAAGTATATTATTTTCCAGAAAATCATTAATATTATTTCAAAATATCATTTTTAATTTTATAAGATACGAAAGCATTGTCATTTAAATAAATGATTTAAACAAGTGGTATCAAATAATTTCGTTTTATAGTTTCTCGAGAAATTTGAAGAAATGTAATCACACAATTTATATAATTGGAACTAGGATTTCTCACATTAAATTGCAAATAAAATGTTCACGTATAATTAATATAGTTTTTCTTAATTATTATTTTTATTATTAATAATTAATTATTAATTAAATATTACTAATTAATATTAATAACAATTATTGTTATTACTTATTAGTGATTAGTAATTAGCTAATAATAATTATTATTAGCCATAATAATTAATAATAATTATAATTAATAATAATAATAAAAATAATAATAACATTAATATTAATAATAATAATAAATACGATTCATTTAAATGATAGTTATATTATGTTCATAATGTAAAAAGGTTAATTTCTTTTCAATTCCTGAACATTATTGATTTTTTTCTGCATGACAAAATTTATTAATATTCGATTAATTAAAAATTCTTTCGTCTCTTCCTTTTTTTAGCAAGAAAGCCAAACGGAAGAAAAATCACGGATATTATCACCTCAATTATCAACAATGGAAGTTATACAAGCAGGTGAAAAATTTTCTGAAACTATTACAAATAATTGTACCAATCAAGCATCCACCGATATAGATACTGTAACTGATATTCCCATTGTAGAAAGTTTAAAAATAGTACATTTCTAATTTTGCAAAACAAAAAGCATCATAGTGTTATTAAAATCTTCTGAGATGTGTGCATATGAATCCGAACTTTTAAAATGTAACATATTTTTCTTCTTTTAACAAGAAGAATCACAAGGCGTTGAGTAACATAAGGTGAAGTAATATATTTTCTATAATTTCAATAATTTTAGTATAAATTTTGAAAGATTGCTTCTTAAATCTTCATCTTCTGTAAAGTATGGCCACTTATTAATAAATTATATATTGATTATTAAGCTCAAAAATTTTCAATTTTTTTCAAAATTTTATTTTTTGAAAAATTACGATATAAGTTTTCATATCATTGCATATGTAAATAACGCTTCTCTCGATATCCTACGCTTCGCCAATCATGTCAATGTAGGATTTCGATTATTATTTTTAACATATAGTAAAACTCGAAATTACTAAATATTTTTCGTGTTCGCTTTAAAAGACTGATTAATTAATTTGTTTATCTATAAAAGTTAATATATGAAGTATTTCTTACTATGTATGAAGCAAACAAACAAATTCATGTTATTGGAAATTGATAAAATTCTAGAAATTATTTGATATTTTTGCTTATATTACACAAAACTTTTTTGAAAATAATGAATTTGTGATGCTATGCTGTAAATTTTCGATAACTTCCTCAAATTTTGCATAAAAATTACACTTGAAAATGTTTTCAATCTACAAAAAACAAAAACGCGGTAAATTATTATTATTATTATCATTATTATTTAATGATATTATTATTATTATTATTATTATTATTATTAT